CTGTGTAACTTTGCTCACTACTTCCAGGTTCCCTCTAATGGCCAAAAAAGTTCTACCACAGCACTGTGCTGGAACTCCTGTGACAGCTGAGAGGGGAAGGCAGCTCTCCCACCTCTCAGAGCCTTCTCCACTCTGCTCCCCGCTCTGAAGAGAGGATCTCCAGGCCGGGGAGAGAGGTAGCGGCGAAGGAGGATGGACGAGCAGGCTGCTATAAAGTCAGAATGTAAGACCCCAATATTGAGTAAGAAAGGAATGGCAAAGGTTTAGTCCTTACTCTCTCTCTGTTCTCTATTATACCTTCTTTTTGCCTCTGGTTGGTATTTATTATGCAACAAGAGTATGGAATATTTAGTTTCCAAAATTAGTACAAGAGGTCTTTAGGAAATTTTAGTTTCTTATTAAACTATATAAAAGGGTAGACGCGGGACTATAGAAGGGTTTTATTCCCCGAATAGGTATCGAGTCGGCCTAAATATTTAGGGGACTCGTAGCAGATTGGAAGATCCATAATTTAGGGAGGTGAGGTATGTGTGAAAGTTTAGATGATGTAAGTAGTTCCTTTTCCTCTTTTTTTTATTTTTCTGGGGGATACGTGAAGATGTTGGAACTTTGCAAAGTTCTCTATGAGAAGTGTTAAGTTTGCATCCCTCAAAGTGAGGGGTATGAATATCCCTTAAAAGATATCTCAGGTGACTTATTACACTGGTCTACAAATCTTGGGAAATTATTGACCACCGAGATAAAATGTGTTAATTCTTACATATTTTGATTAGATGAATTAGAAAACAGGTGATAAAGGTGCTGTTGGCTAAAGTTTTCAAGATATTTCACAATAAAGATTTATATACAGGCAAGTATATTTGTCGACATGGAAGTGTATAAATGTATCTTCACTTTAAAGCTAAAGATTATTACCTAACTGTAATGTATTGCTCTTTTATTGCAAGGTACATTTTTCTTGGTCAGATCTACACATCATACAGTTACATCAGGTGGCTTGTGAAAGTGTCATTGCCTAACATTTCCAAGGAACAGTTGCGTGATATTTTCCCTCAGAAGTCAAGATGCCTCCAAACTGTGTAAACAACGCAGATAACTTCTGTTACATTTGTGGCGAGTTTACATTTGCATCTCAAAAGTGCAGTATGACGGCAGTGGTCAAAAAGGCATACCACCTATATTTTGGATGCAAAATAGGGGATAAGGACAAGAGTTGGGCCCCTCATTATTGTTCTTTTTTTTTGTGTATTGCATGTACTGGAAAAAACCCAATAAAATTTGATTGTTTAACCTCTTGCCGTCCGCCCGTAGTAGAAAAACTGACGGACGGCACTGCTGCATCTGCGGGTTGCCGTCTCCAGACGGCAATTTTTTTCTGCTCGCGCGCGCCCCCTGGCGGGCACACATGTATCAATTTTTGGGGGGTTTTTTTCCAAGTCATAAGCTTGTCTTTTGTTTTGTTTTTTCCAATTAAAGGATTTTTTCAAAAGTCTGGCGACTTTTTTAAACTTTTAGTTTAACCCTTTAGTGAATGAGTAGGGGTATGAGTACCCCTTACTCATTCACAAGGGGGGGGTGTGTCTCTGGGTGCCCCTTAAAGGGCAGGGGGGCTTATGTGAATAAGCCCCCCTGCCCGCACCCCCACAACAAACACCCCAGGGCTTGTGGGGAAGAGGCCCTTGTCCGCATCAGCACAGGGACAAGGTGCTTTTCCAGGGGCGACCCTGAAAAGCACCCTCCCAGTGCTGAGGGCATGTGGCCTGGTATGGCAGGGTCCACTCGCTCGCCCCCCTCCTCTTTCCTGCCCTGCCAGGCCTGTGCTCGGTTCAAGGGTCTGGTTTGGAATTTTAGGGGGGACCCACGTCTTTCCCCCCCCCCCATTTTTGGGGTGGGGTTCCTCCTTAAAATTCCTACCAGACCTTAAGGGCCTGGTATGACTTTATGGGGGAACCCCACACACTTGTTTTTAAAATTTTAACTTGGGGTCCTCTTAAAATTTCTACCAGACCTAAAGGGTCTGGTATGACTTTTGGGGAAACCCCCCACGCTTTTTCTTTCTTTTTTTTTAAATGGTGTCCCTCCTAACTTTCCTACCAGACCTAATGGGTCTGGTATGGTTTGGGAGGGGGACCCCACGCTTTGTTTTTTTTCCTTTTCTTAAAATGTTTAACTTGTTTTAAGTTTCCTATTTTTTTACATTCATTTAAATCGTTTTTTAAATTTTTTTTTCATTTATTTAAATTTTTTCTAGGTAGCGAGCAGAATAGCTTGGTGGCATTTGGCTATTCACTCACTGCCGTTCGGCCTCTATGAGAATAGGGGTGAACGGCAGTGATTGGACTGCCGGAGCTGCGGCTCAGCCAATCCAGATGTTGGATCGGCTGAGTCAAACTCCCTCAGAGCATGTTCAGCTGACCGAAGGCAGCCGATGTAGGGCTGACCAAAGGCAGCCGATGTACGGCTGATTTTAGCCGATGTACGGCTGATATCAGCCGTACAAGGCTGAAGTGAATAGCCGAACATCGCTTCACTTCGGCTGGGTTATTCACTCGGATTACGTCCACTTATAGAGCCGTTACGGGATTTGCTGTTCAGACCAGGTAGGTGGTATTCCTACCTACAACTTCAACAATTTTATTATCAAATTAGATCTCAAGGAGTAATTCATAGGAATCTCTGACTGTGAAAGGTGTATTAATAAATCAGATGGCAAGAGGAACATATCGAAAATATATCATATCCTAGTGTCCAAGGCAGTCTCTTGGGTCCCTTATTACATCAGAGATTGGGAGAGAGAACTGGGTCATCCTATTTCGGAAAAACGATTGTGATAAATACTTTATAATAAGTAATATAGCAAGTCAGTCCCAGGAGAGAAATTATAAAATCTTGACAAGATGGTATAGGTGCCCATATACCTTAAGTAAAATGTATCCATCTGCATCCGATAAATATTGGAGATGTGGAAGCGGAGTAAGGACCATGTTACAATATATATCCCTATATATTGGAGGTCAGAACATGTACCTGACGTAGTGGAGTTGACTCGGGAGAAGGATTTTAATATGAGAATGGAAGAATTAATGTCACATACATATGATAGAAACACAGATTGTTTGATTGTGTGGAATAAATGGAATGACTACATGTCAGAGAGAAGCAGTAATTGAAGATCTAGGTTAGGAAATATACGCCCTGCCTCCCAAGCCCCTTTTTTCTTTCTTTTTTTGTTCTTGTGCTGGGAAGGTACTGAGTGGGGAATATATTAACCCCTTCATGACTGAGCTTGTTTTTAGTTGCTGTTCGTAAATGACTGACACACTTTTGACATTTTTGCTGTGTGATTCTTCCACGTCAGTAATATACTTTCTTACAAAGTGCACCCACACATATTATATATTGTTTTTTAGAGGACAGATAGGGCTACATATTTATATCACATATGTGTGTCTAACGCCTCACTTAGGACAAATAAAATATAAAAAAAGAGGAAAAAAAGTTTAAAAAAACACTTTTTTCCCAGTTTTGATTTGTAGTATTTTTTTTACAAAACCAGCACAGCTAAAAAAAATGCAATAAATACATTCATTTATTTGTCCCTTATTTTATTTTTTTTTACACATTTTTTTTACACTTTTCACATTTTTTTAAACTTAAAAATTGTATTTTATTTATTTAATTATATCAAGCAGTCATTGTGAATTAATCTCACTGTTACTGCTTGATAAATTAATACATTTTTGGTTATTATCAGGCTGCTTCAAACTTCAGAACAGCCGATAATAAGTTAGTGACACTGATCCTGCAGCAGTTCAGGATTCAGCTGTCACTATAGGTTTTCTGATTGTTGCAACAACGATCAGCAAACTGAAACATTCTTCTTCCAGGAATAGATACATTATAGGAATAGACACATTATGTATCTATTCATGAAAGAAAAAAAGAAAAAAAAGCCAGTATAGCTTGAGAGAGATATCTCTCTCGATCTATACGAGCTGTCAGAATGCCGGCAAAAGCCGGCATGTGTGTCCGCTTTGCTTTGACTCTCAGACACCCGATATTAAGGTATCGGGTGTCTGAAAAAGGTTAACCCTTTCATTAATGAATGCCTCTGTAGTAAGGGCATCCATTAATGAATGTTAAAAGCTGATTCTCAGCGATTAACAGCCCTCTAAAGCAGCAAATAACTCGTCACGTACAGTGTACGTGACAAGTCATTTGGTCCCTTTGTGGCTGGACGTACAGTGTACGTCTCCCGTCACAAAGGGGTTAAATAATGTATTATTAGAATACAGTATTTATGCTATATGGAAACGAGTAAAAGTGGTTGGGATAGGTTAAGAATTAGTATTTAACCGACTGGGGGGTTGGTTTTTGTATAATATAAGTTCATTGATTGTATAATTGTTTGTGATTGGCTTTGTTTCTTTGTAATTTGTATAAAATAATTAAAAATGTATTAAGTAAAAAACAAAGTATTACAGACAGTACTGTTTTGTTGCAAGTGCACTAATACACCAACAATCACCTTAAGCAATACATTTTACCATTTAACAGAAAGCACCTTAAAGTCGCCATAAAAGTCAGAGGTGCAATACAGCTTAATCGGTACAGCACTACTAATCATAAAAACTACAAACATAAAAAAAGTTATATGGATATTATAAATGAATATACTGTATATAAGGGGAAATGGTGACTATAAATGGAATTTGTTTTTTTTCTTTTCACGTTTTTCATACAACAGTGACATGAAAAGATATGACATCATAGCATACAGAATAAATAAAATAAAGAAAAACATGCAAAAATGAACAGCAACACTATAGTTAGAAGCTTTTCAAGGTAAAACCATTGCTATTGTTTCACATAAACTGGCAGCAAATTTACATTTTCAACCTTTTATTAAAAGGACTCTATTCTTTATATGTCCAGCACATCTTACACAATGTAGACATATAAGGATAATATATATATATATAAAATATAAAAGATTTTACCACTGTGACTGCATCATTCAGAAGAGATTCTCCAAAGACAATGATAAATAAGACATCATTTACATGAACTTCCTCAAATACAGCTATAACAGCGACTGGGTCCACTGCAGCAATAAGGCTTCCAAAGAGGAGGAACTCCAAAACACCAATCTGTAAATTACCTATAGAAAAAACAAAGTTTGAATTGTTTTTATTTAAATAATCTGTCTCTTTTTCTTTGCTACATTCCTGAGAATGTGCTTACTTCATATATCTGTTTTTCTTTGTAACATGTCATAGAACTTGCTTGCTTCCAATATACCTTACATTTTTCAGTAGTAGACAAATAAACTCTTGTATATCGTTAGAAATATAAAATGGTAATTAAAGGCTCAGTGCGACTCTGCGCTGTCAGCATATAGCAGGCAATAGCCTGCTTTATGCTGAATTTTGAGTCACAGGAGGAAATGAGTAAATGTTGTCTTGTGACCCTAAAGAGAACTATGGCTATTGACCATAGTTCTCTTATAAAGGCAACTCAACCTAAAAAGTATATAGAATCAATAGCACATTTCTATTTCTTCTTTTCAGTCAGGATCTTCAGAAATTAGATTTGTTTGATTGAGGTCCTGGCTTTGCATATGTACACCAGGATTAGTATGCTTATGCTGCATAGTTTTTCTTAAGATAAAAATAATTAATTAATGCATAATCCAGCAACATGTGGGGTAGTGGTTGACTGGCTGACATTTTTATTTTTGCTTATTAGTGTACACATGAAAGGTCTTTAGCTGTTTACATACAGTGAAGGGAATTTATCAAAACTGAAGCAGACAACAATTTGGAGCGGCTGTACACAACAAACAATCTGTTTTTCTCTTTCATTTTCAAATCATAAGGCTGGGTTCACACCTGGGCGTTTTTCAGTGCTGATCAAAGCGCTGAAAAACGCTCAAGCAGTGAAATCCTATTAATTCCTATGGGCATGGTTCCCACACCCTACGCCCGAAATAGTACAGGAGGTTCTTTGGGGCGGATTTCAGCGCGCATCCATTAGGATACAGCCTGATAGATTTCATAAACGCGCATTTGATGCGCGTTTCGTGGACCGCAAATCACGGTAAAAACATGCATATTACGAACGCCCAGGTGTGAACCCAGCCTAACTGAACAAGCTGAAGAGAGAAGCGGATTGGTTGCCATGCACAGCTGCTCCATATTTTCTCTGCTACAGTTTTGATAAAATCCTCCCCCACCAATGTTTTACTGTATTACAGAGAGGATTGGGGTATCCTCTACATAAGTCAAATGGCAATATATATTGTTATGTATGACCAATTGTTGCAACTGCCACAGATTAGAGTAGGAACACAGAAATCCATTATGTTAATTATGTTATGTTATCCATTGAATATTCACTGGTCTTGCACCCCACCCTCAGACAGTTTATTGCCTATGCTGCACCACAGATGCAGATACCAAGATGCCATTTTCTCCCCAAGAGGCTATGCCTGTTTTCCACCAGCAATTGCAGTGGTAATATTGCTGTTACACTGGACCACACATTCAGCAGCAGGATTAATCACCTTTTTATTTTTTTATTTAATTATTTAATATTTTTTTAACATTTTTTTTTTTTTAATCAATGTAATTTTTTTTCCCATCTAACTTTATTGCTATCACACAGGAGATAACAATCCCCTGTGTGATAGCAAGGTAGACGTGGCCTTGTGGGAAATCCGGGCCTGGCAGCAGGGTCTGCATGGCCACAGATGTAGTCCAGCAAGCATGGGCAGGAATGTTGTTTCACCTTCACAGCATACTGGGCAAATAAGGTGGTGGCTAGGAAGAATGCAGGATGGAGCACAGCTCTGGAGCTGATTTTTCCACCCTTAGGCCCCATGTACACTGAGCGTATTGCAAATCGCGCGTTTGTTGCGCGATTGTCATTTTGCACGATATTGCGCCTTTTACTGCGCTTTATCGCACAAATGTTTGCATTGGGCTGGGTACAATCGCCCGACATCCGCACCAAAAAGGGGTCCTGCAAAGCGACGCGTGACAGCGACGAGCACAGCCCCATTCACATGCATTGGAGAGCGATATTGCGCGGCAAATATGCGTGATATTGCGTGGAAATCTGTGCGATAAAACGCTCAGTGTGAATGGGGCCTTAGTGATGATGATAATGCAGTCACCTCTTCCCCCTTCTTCTCAATGGCCTCAGGCAATCGCAGCCACTGTGCAGCCACTTTAGGTGGTTATAACCACTGGGTGTTCACCTGGCCGAAAGGCAGGTGTGCTGTGCACCCACATGTAGGAACCTCACCACGGCCATGCTGCAGCAGCAGCACTTGCATCACCAGACCATCATTCATGTCACAGAAGAAAAAGACCAAGGAGAATGTACTCCTTGGTATTTTTCTTCTGTGCAAAAAAAGCAAAGAAATTAAAAAGGATCAGACTCAATAGTCCTTACCATCTTGTCTTAATTTGTATTGTGATTGCAATGTCTTCCCTATATTGTAAAGCGCTGCTCAAACTGTTTGGCGCTATATAAATCCTGTATAATAATAATAATAATAATGTAGAGTCTGATGCTTTTTTTTTCTTTCTGTATTTAACCACTTCCAGCGGGTTCACATAAATACATGTCATCAGGTGGACGTGGTTATACCAAGAACACAGCTGCTTCTGGAGCCATGTTCTTGGTACAGTTTTAAACAGCAGACGATTCTGTCGTGTCCCCTCCTGTCAGTGGCGACTCTAGGAACAATATATAGGGGAGGCACATAAGATACCACAGTCAAAACTGGGGGGCACTAATAATTTTCACCACTAAATCATACCACATAAAAAAATTAAATAAGTATATATAAATAAAAGATTACAAATATCATGAGATGACGAGGGAGCATGAAGCCAGCTTCCCGACCAATCAGGAAGCCGGGCAGCAGCTAACGATTATTTTCAAAATCGATTAGTCAGCCCGACTAATTAGTCAGCCCGACTAATATTACGTTTGATTAATCGGTTAATTAGATTTTTTTTAAAGGCTCCAGTGATGTACAACTAGTTTGTATTGAGATTGTAGTCCATCACGGAAGCAAGCTTGGCGCGGTGGAAGTAAAAAATAAGTGTGGTGTGCAATAAACATTATACAGCACAATGCAGAATACCAGCAGCTATCGAGGAATACAGCAAATCACAGCAATAGTACATTACACTAAAATGTACTATTGCTGGGATTTGTAGTCCTGTGTAGCTTCTGGTATTCTGTATTGCGCTGTATATAGTGTATTATTGCTGGGATTTGTAGTCCTCTGTAGCTGGTATAATGATTATACAGCGCAATGCAGAATACCAGCAGCTATAGAGGAATACATCAGATCCCAGCAATAGTACATTATACTATAATGTACTATTGCTGGGATTTGTAGTCCTCTGTAGCTGGTATAATGATTATACAGCGCAATGCAGAATACCAGCAGCTATAGAGGAATACATCAGATCCCAGCAATAGTACATTATACTATAATGTACTATTGCTGGGATTTGTAGTCCTCTGTAGCTGGTATAATGATTATACAGCGCAATGCAGAATACCAGCAGCTATAGAGGAATACATCAGATCCCAGCAATAGTACATTATACTATAATGTACTATTGCTGGGATTTGTAGTCCTCTGTAGCTGGTATAATGATTATACAGCGCAATGCAGAATACCAGCAGCTATAGAGGAATACATCAGATCCCAGCAATAGTACATTATACTATAATGTACTATTGCTGGGATTTGTTGTTCCTCTATAGCTGCTAATGTTCTGCAGTGTGCCGCTTTTTAAAAAAACAGGCAACATTAAAAAGGTATCTCGAGTGACTTACTTTGAATGACGGTGGGCCCTTGACTGTCGGTGGGCAGCGGCGAGTCAGGAAGATCACCCGCAGGAGAGGAGCAGACGCATGTCCTCAGCGTGCGTGGCTTAACCGGCGTGTGCGGTGGGCGTGAGCGGCTTAACCGGCGTGTGCAGGTGGCATGAGCGGCGTGGCGTGCAGCGGCAAGCGGGAAAATCCGGGAAAGGAAGGGGTTGTAAACACCGGATGGAGAGCGGTGTCCCTCGGCTCCCTTCAAATGCTGCTTCTACATGCCGTGGAGCCGGCTACGGGGCGGATCCGAGTGACGTCGAGGGACCTGATTGGGACCTGTGCACCTGCTGCTTGTTCGGTGCGGCCGGCCGGCCCAGTCAGAGAGGCAAAGGGAGAGACTATTTTGTCGGGAGAGGGGGAACTAGGCAACTTCTGACACCCCCCCCCCCTTAAAAAATAGAATCTCCCTCCCACCCCCC